GATCCCTGATCTCCCTTCCTTCCGCCGCGCCCTTAAGACATGGTTATTCCAGCTTGCGGGACTGGCCTAGGGGAAACTTTTAGAGGGGGTTTTAATTATATTTTAATTAGATTAAATTTAAATATTTCCTTTTTAATTAATTTTTAAATTTGTAATGTTATTTGTGTATTTTTACCCGATTGTTAGCCGCCCTGAGTCCTCAAGGAGAAGGGCGGGATATAAATTTAATAAAATAAATAAAAATAAAATAAATGATAGTTAAAAGATGAAGGGAGAAGGAACTTGGTGCAAGGTGGGGGTGAGGTGGGATTATGGTATGGTCAGAGTGGATAGTGCTCTTTATCTGATCAGCACAAGAAAGCAAGGAGAAATCCTCATTTGCGTCATTGAGCACAATCTAAAAATGGTCTTGCAGAGAAACTGCACTGTATAAACACATAAGCAATTTCTCTGCAAAAACATTTTTGAAATTGTGATGCATCTCTTTAAAAATGTTTTCCTTTGCTAACAATTAAAATTGTTGTGCGGGTTGTTCGGAATTTTAATTGCACTTCCTTCCCATCCTAAGTTCTCTTAGAACTATTTGGCCTCTAATTAGGCTGTTATTCATAATTATACACTCTAATAAAACTTCAGGTTTTCTTATGATTGTGTAAACACTCTCTGAGTTGAGATTGACTCCTGGTGATTACAAGGAAACATCTATGAAGCTTTTTTGGCAACAATAGGGAAACAGTATATATATATATATATAATAGAAATAATAGAAATAAAATAGTCTGAGCACCAGGATAATATTAAAACAAAAACTGTTTAGTACAAAAGCTAAAGCTAAGCTTTCGTCGGCCAACACTGCCGACATCCCTTTCCCAGTCTTTCCCCTGCTGGTTTGGAGGGCTTCCTCAGATCCAGCAGATGGGCTGCTGCCCCTCCACGATCAACGAGGGTCCCTTCCTTCTTCGTTGCCTGTTCAGGGCAACTTTCACCCTATTAGGGTTCCCAGTGGGGCAAAATCGAACTTGGAAGACAGAGGCCCGTCTTCCTGCACCCGTTATTCCATGACATCAAACCAGAAGTCAACCATAGGGTTTTCTGATGGTCTCCCATCCATATCTTTGACCCTGCTATTTATTTAGACAAAATTGTACTGTTTTCCTAGATAATTCTCAAAACATATAGTATTATCAACATTCTTAAGACAATCTCATCCCCTAAAACTTTCAAACGTTTTCTTTGAGAATGTTTCACATCTCATCCAAGAAGAATTGAACAAGCTTCTTGGATGAGAAATGAACGTTTCCAAAGTCATTGTGGCCTCACCTACAGCACATAACTCATTATATAATTATATTTCTTTTTCAAAAAAGGATTTTGAAGGACTGGTAGAAGAATTTTCCTCTCTGCTGGAATTTGCTACACAAGACAAGCCACTCCTAATCTGCCTTGATGGTATAAATGAACTATCAGAGGAATGTGGTGCTGACCTTTCTTGGATACCATCTGAATTACCAAAGAATGTACATTTTATTGTTTCTACTTGCTTGGAATCAGATGTTTCATGCATAAGAAAACTGGAGGTAAATGAAGTTCCTGAATGAATTGTTTTTCATTCCATATCTTCTCATATAATTGGAATTCCAAGGAAGCTTAATAATGTCAAGTACCTTTAAGCAAAAGCAACTGGCAACATAACTTTGATTCATTATAACAGGGGTCCTCAAACCCAGACCCACTGTTATAAGAAATCAAAATTATTCTGTTGCCAGTTGCTTTTGCTTCAAAGGTGCCCATTACTGGGCCGTGGCCAGTGGTGGGATTCAGCCGGTTCGCACCACTTCGGCAGAACCGGTAGCTAATTTTTTGTTGCCCAGGCCCAGAATGGACTTCCAGAAGTGGCAGCCACACAGATGCTGCTTATTTGAATCCCACCACTGGCCGTGGCCTATTCGCACATGCACATGGGCTGGCCCACCACTTGCGCAAGTTGAGCTGGTTCTCCTTTCTCCCCTTCAACCGGACGGCCAAGCCACAAAGTTTGGGGACCGCTGCCTTATAATACAATCATAAATTTTGTGGATCAAAATTTTGTGGATCAGCATAGGATTCACAACATTGACCAGCAATCCACAACCCTGCCTATTGTCAGGGCATAATTACGCACACATTCAGAACTTAGATTCATTGAATTACTGAGGGTTCAAATTTTGGAAGTTGCCATTCCACAATATCTAAAGAGTGGCAGAATACTATTTTTGTTCTTTCAGGTTCTCAGGAAACATTATGTACCAGACTTACCACCAACATTTTATTAACCAGTGTTGTGGAATTCTGTTAGATTCCCTAAACATTGTGGGGAATATATTATATTCCAACACATTTCCCTACCTATTTATCATGTTTTTATGTTCCTTAAACAAAATGATAATAGACCAATAATTTTGTTGTGGCTGTTGGCATACAAATCTAAAATCTTTTGTTGGTAAATTGGGAAAAAAAATAAGCAATCAGTCATTGTTTTAAGCTGAGACCTCAATTCCAAGTTTGCATTCATATACAAAGATGAAAATGAAAATGAACAGTTTTGTGTATAAAGCAGGACTTTTGTTCTTTTAAATTAATATTTTATAACAAAGTATGGGTGTTCAAGGTAGATCCAACAGAAAAGCTTCTCATGTCTTATCTCCCTGGTATTTTGACCTTTTTTCAGCCTGTCTTAGTACTAGGTGGACTTGATGAAAAAGTACTACAAAATTGAACTCAGGAGGACAAGATAGAAGGGGAAAGATCTGCTCCTGTTCCTCTATACACAGTTTAATGTAAACCTACTTTGTAGCTGTGCACACATGTGTACTAAACATGCACAATTTCAGCTGTTTTGAGTTTACTGTGATTACTGGATTAAGTGACAGCAAGATCGCACTGTAATGTAAAATTTCCTTTGTTCTAATATTTGATTAGATTGTCTTGCATTTGATTAGCAAAAGTGATCCTGTTGCTTTTGTGATTGGTAATAATAGTGCAAAAACTGAGATATGTTTATTTTCTTTAGAAGATAACCTTGAAAGAACATTTTTTTCAAATACCTCCTTTAACATTTGAAGAAATCAATGAAATTATCATCTTTTGGCTCAAAAAGGATCATCGAAGACTCACCCAATATCAGTTCAAGCACTTAATGGAAGCATGCATAGCCTGTCCATTGCCACTTTACCTATACTGTGCTTATAAGGAATCCTGTTTATGGACATCTTTCAGCCCAGACACGGAGGTTTGTCTCCCTCAAAGTATACCTGACATGTATTCTTGGAGGTTGAGCAGAATGGAAAGATCTCATGGTGAACAAATTATACAAAGGATTGCAGCTTATGTGACACTTTCAAGAAATGGCATCACTCAGGAAGAATTGCTCAACCTCATGTCAATGGATTGTATGGTCATTCAAGAAATAAATAAATTCCAAAAAAGCTCAATGTCACCATTTCCACTAGTGTTATGGTTGAAATTTTTAGATGATCTTGGAGATGATTTGAGAGAGCAAAGAACTGATAACACATATGTTTTTACTTGGGCTCATACTTCTTTAAAGCATGTGTGCATTCAGAGATACCTGAAATCACAAGATTCCCAAATATCACTACATGCTATCTTTGCTGACTATTACCTAGGTAGAAGCTCACAGGAGTTGAGGAAGTGCAGTGAACCATCAATATTTCAGCCTTTGGCCTGGACTCTGAAAAAAGAATCCAAGACCAGCTACATCTTCAATGTCCGTAAAGTCTTTGGGGCTCCATATCACCTCATCAGATCAAAAAATATTGCTGTTCTAATCAAAGAATGTCTCTTTAATTATGAGTTTCTTTTGTACAAATCCTGGGCCTCATCAATTGTCAGTATTGAAGAAGATCTAGGAGCAGCGATTAATGCTGACAGGTCAGTTCACAATAGTAAAATAGAATTCTGCATTAACCTAATATAATGAAGTAGCCCAATGTTCTCCACTTACTACATCATTGTGATGCTGGCTAGGATTTATAATCCCATTAGAACCAGGGGGTTCCAGAGGGTATCAATTAGGGAAAGTCTGGAATGGTCTACATTGAAATATGTTTTAGAGATTCACCATACATCAAAATAACATTCAGATAAAGCCTGGCTGGAGAACTTGTAGACATTATTTATTTTACCAGATCTGTATGCCATCTTCTCAAAGAACTCTAATCGGTTGTTTCTGAACTCCCCTGAGCCTTGATTGGTGTGCCTTGATTGGTGTGCTAATAATGAAGGGAAAAAATAGTTCAACAACTCACTAAATATGTCATGTTTCATACCCTTAATAAGAGTATTTCAACACTCTAATTATTTGTCACTCAAATATTTTGTGTTTATATTCTACTCATCATTTTGTCATGCAATGAATAAGAAATAGAATAGCTCAGTTTTAGAAAGCTTCTGTATAAAAACCACTTAAGACATTTGCAAAGAAATCAAAACTATGCATGCTGACCTTTTTTTCTTTGCCCCCTCCCTCCCCCACAACAGGACTATACCTGACTTAACCTTATTAAGAGAAACTCTAAAATTGTCCAAGATGGTTTTAATAAAAGATCCATGCCAGATGGCTTCACAGCTCATAGGCCGTCTTCATCAGATTGTTGCAGCTGATATACCAGTAGCACCAGGTAGAGCAAATTATGAACCTCTGATTTTCATAGAAAAATTCTGATTCTACATTTCTTTACTGTGTTTTGGTTTTTAATCTGTATATGTCTCTACTGGGATGTAAACATCAAAGACAGAATTAAACTATACTATCAATACATATCTGGAGAATTAATCCCATAAAACAAACTGCAGGCAAACATTCAAACAAGAGTGCACAAGGAAAATTTAATAGGGTGATTCATCAAATAAGCAAGATCCAAGCAACCTAGATTTACATTAGAAAACATTTATAGTTTAAATAGATAAGAAACAACAGGATAGGTAGAGTGGAGCCATCTAGGAATTTGAAAAGAACTGTTTATTCATTTCCAAAGGATAGCAAGGATTAAAAACAATTCAGTTCTTTAGCTTTAGTTTAAAAGAATTCCTGATTTATTGATTTGGATGATTGAAATGTTTATTGGAGTACCAAAGCTGATCTCTTCTATGGAAGGCCCATTTCTCTTTAGCATAGTGAGCTCTGTTGATAGCTATTCCTTTGGGCAGTGCTTTTTTTCTTTAAAAAAAAGGTGCCGGAACTCACACACATCATACTACCCGCCTTGCCTACCCTACAAGGTTCCATCCAAAAAAGGTGCCGGAACTCCGTTCTGGGTGTTCTATGAGAAAAAAAGCCCTGCCTTTGGGGGAAAAATACCAGATAGTTCATTTGAATTTATTAGGAAATTAGCCACACTATTTCATTATTTTTAGAGAAATGTTTTTAACAATGTCTAAGTCAATCTTGTATTAATTGAGAGAACTTTACCTTTAATTGCTACAAGATTCAATATGGAGGTTTTTAATTCTAGAAGATAAACTATAATAATTACACTTTGAAAGTTATATCTCTACAAGAAGTACAGAGGTTCTATATCTGAAAAAGTTAATCTTTAAGAATTGGAAACAGTAATGCACCATGTAATATTTCCTGTGTAAGATGTATATCATAGTATTATTAATACACATTTTTCCATGTTGATTCAGGTGATCCAAAAAAATATCTTTACCTGCCAGTTCTTTTATCCCAGTGTCAGAAATCTTCTATTCCTGTTCTTATACCTTCAACATCTTGCCTTATTGCTCCTGGTGGACTTCTCTGTGATCTTTTGAAAGGTGATATCGTATCTTTTCAGAAATGATTTAATTCCTAATTTATGAAGAATTTTACATAGACTGATTTCCATAAGATTTGGCCAATACTATGTAAATGTTATGTGACTTGCAATTTGGTACAGACAAATCAACTTTGCTATTATGTAGATGTGCTGAACAATCTGCCAATTTAATGAGATGGTTATTACAATCACGAATTTGTTTTCTTTGAAACCTTAAGTTACTGGTGCTGGAAGCAAATAGTTGGACGAGAAACAAAATAACTAACCACCTTTTATTTACAAACATAATCAGTGTTATCACAAAAAGTATGTACCTGAGAGGAAGATATATGTTTAATTCATTTTTGGAGTGTATCATTTCGTAGCATTGATGCTGTTCAATCTACCTCTGACATGTGTTATTGATTTCATGCTTTTACAATGCTTGATAATACCATGTTTCACAATATTGCACTCTCTGATAACACCAGGTGCTACTGCGTAATAACAGCCCACAGATTAAATTTTATGTATGGTAATCAGGCACAAGGAAACAACTCTCACTAGTGTTTGTAAGGATAGGAATCAATTATTGCATTGCATTAAACAATGCAGTATAATCAGTAATAGGGTTTCAATTGTGAAAAAATCTTTCCTCTAGTTGTAAAGGAGGCACCAATATTGTATTTTTACAAGACAATTCTCAGAGTTGTTTAAGGATTTACTGTGGATTTACTAATTGCTTCTTTCCACTAATTGATTTTAATCAGTTTTATTGCTCTTGGGGTTTGAGCGGAGCAATTCTAAATATAAATAATTGGCTGCAATCTTTGATGCTCTAATCCATCTGGCCATCAAAAAAGAAACAAGAAATGAAAGATGTATGTGTAAAGTATTGTTTGCTCCTGATACTTGCAATATTTTTGTGTTCAGATCTTTGTGTATCTTCATTGTCTTCCAGGACTTGTAGAAAAAAATCCTGGAAAGGAAATTGTGTAGATCAACCAAGCCAAATTTCTCTTTAATTTAGTGATCTGGAGAGGGCCTGGGGCATTTTTTTTTTTTGCAGGGGAGAGGGGCGGGGGAGAATCCCCAACCCAGAATTTATAATTTCAGGAAGTTCTAAACTTGGAGGCTGGAGAAAAAGTTTTATCCCTACAATCACAGCCTTCTTTTCTATATTTGGCAACACTTTGGGTGAGATTGATGTACGAGATAGTGAGTCGATTACCCAGGGACTTTATACACTTTGTTGAAGAATGATATATTTAATGGATGCTAACACCTGATATTATCATGGCCAACTGAAATGTTTAGTGTATCAGTATCCTTCAGAAAATAACTGTAAGTCAGGTACATGGATTTATTCTTTTGGACCTCTCAGCGGCTTTTGATACCGTAGACCACGATATCATGCTGCGACGTCTCGGTGGGTTAGGAGTGGGAGGCACCGTTATGCGGTGGTTCTCCTCCTTCCTCACCGACCGTACGCAGTCTGTATTGGCAGGGGGACAGAGGTCGACTCCTAGGCCCCTAACTTGTGGGGTGCCTCAGGGGTCGGTC